GTGAGTTTTGTAAACCAGAGTAAGAAAACCTTTTTGCCAACGGCATCTAACCTCAATGAATCTGAAATGTAATTTTAAAATACGTTTACTCTAGACAAAAGAGAACAAGATGAATGTCAGAAAACAAGCTATTTGACAAATAATAAATAAGGAATAAAGATGCCGGATTATTCTGAAGTATTAAAATAAAAATTTTATGTGAACAACTCTCATAAGCAAACTCTGATACTCTGTGAATAAATAAAAGTGGATTGGGGGTACTGGTTCAGCATTATGATGGGGGCTATAGTTAAAGACAAAGACGTTTATAATACCAAAAAGGAACTCATTGAGCACTTATTTTGTTATAACAGAAAGAGACAATACGAAAAATTTATTTTTGTATATCCTTTGTATAACGGATTTAACCATATTATGGAATGGTGTTATAGAAATAAAAGAAATGTAAACAAAAACAATCATCTATCAAATTAATCTCACAGAGTTGAAGACTAAGAAACTTGGTAATTTGGTCTCTTATTTTCTCTCATCTCTTTGTCAAATATGTTTAAATCTCTTTAAAAATATATTTTTTATAGGTTGGTCACGGTGGCTCATACCTGTAATCCCAGAACTTTGGGAGGCTGAGGTGAGCAGATCACAAGGTCTAGAGATGGAAACCATCCTGGCCAACATGGCAAAACCGCATCTCTACTAAAAATACAAAAATGAGTTGGGTGTGGTGGCACACACCAGTAGTCTCGGCTACTTGGGAGGCTGAGGAAGGAGAATTACTTGAACCAGGAGGCAGAGGTTGCAGTGAGCCAAGATCTCGCCACTGCTCTCAAGCCTAGAGACAGGGTGAGACTCCATGTCTTCTCTCTTTCTATCTGTGTATATATATATATATATATATATATATATATATATATATATATATATATACACACACACACACATATATAATTACATACACACACACACACACACACACATATATATATAATCAAACATAAAATGAAGACTCAATAAGTATGCTTGTAAAAATAATTGCTGAAATAAACACAGGAATCATTAAATTACAACTTTCTCATTTAAGATATTGATGACCTGTATCTTGGCTTATATACCTGATAAGATCTCAAGTGATTTTTTGTTATTTTTTTGGAAACAGTGTAGAGTACACATTAATTAACACTGGAATAGAATCATAACCTTGTAAAATTTTTCCTTTTAGATTCAAGGAGTACATGTGCAGGTTTGTGTCATGGGTATATTGCATAATACTGACATTTGAGTTTCTAATGATCCTGTCACCCAAGCAGTGAGCAGAGTAGCAGAGATGTAGTTTTTCAATACCTGCCCTCCCTTCCTTTTTGGAATCCCAGTGTTTATTGTTCTCATCTTGGTATCTGTGTGTACCCAGTGTTTAGCTCCCACTGTGGGAGTATGTGGTATTCGGTTCTCTGTTTCTGCATGTATTTGCTTAAAGCAATACATGATGAGGCCTCTAACCTCATCCATATTGCTGCAAAGAACACAATTTCATTCCATTTTATGGCTGTGTAATATTCCACGTTGTGTGTGTACTATGTTTTCTTTATCCAATTGATTGCTGATGGGCACATAGGTTGATTCCATGTATTTGCTATAATGAATAGTGCCGCAATGAACATAGAGTGCAAGTGTCTTTTTCATGGCACAAATTATTTTCCTTTGGGTATATACTCACTAAAGGGATTATTGGGTTGAATGGCAGTTCTATTTTTAGTTCTTTGAGAACTCTCCAACCCCTGTGGAATCTTTTGAAACTATAATTTATTATTGCCTTTTATGCACCTTAGTGCTCTTTAACAAAGAATGTTCTTTCCGATGTATTTTACTAAAACATTCCACAGTTATGTACTTCTGAAATAAGAATTATTGGACATTTGCTGCAAGATGGCATAGCATGAACTGTAGAGGTTATAATAGATATTTAAGACACATCTCTATTCTCTACCTAGGGAACAAATGCTTTTGAACCACTGTTATTTCACCCTTAGAAAATCACCAAAAATCTTATAAACAATTATGTTGTAAGTCTCTATGGTGTATATTGTAAATAAATGCCTACCTTTTCCAAAATTCTTGCAGAATGAAGCCTGAGCTTCAGCTCCCTGACATGTCTTCTCCCCAGCATTGATTTCTACCCATTTAAATTTTTCCAATGCCTGTTGGAACTCTATGCTATTCTAAACAAATAAAAAAACATCTTCTAACTTGTTACTGAATGATTTATTTCCCTTCATGGAAACTTTCCTTTGTCCTTAGATTTACTACTTTGTATTTGCTATAGGTGCTTCTCAGAAGTTGGTATTATTTTTCTTCCAAAAGATTATTCCTTTATCTTTCTAAAATAGAATGAGTGGGAGGAAAAGAAGGATAGAAATGAGATACAGAAACAGACATAGAGAGAGAGTAAGAGAGAGAAGGAGAAAGAGACAACTAGGAATAGCAAGTAGAAATTCATCTGGTCTCCTAGCCTTCTTTGTTTAAATTACTCAACTACATTTCATCCACATACTTCCAGGCCCATGAACATGGCCTTGCCCTCACCAGAACAGAGTTGTACCATCACTGTTATTTTAACCTTAGAAAAAGAAAAATCTTAGTCAAGTAATCATAATCATCTGTTCAAATACTTGGGTTAACAAGCCCTGTTGGAGTAAGTCCATAGTCTACCAGGATGGAAGCCAATGTATCATTGCTTGACAATCTTCATTCTTTTCTAATTTATTATAAAAAAAACTTTGAGACTGATGAAGAGATGTGAAGAGTAATACAATGAGCATCCGTATAATCAATATAGAACGTAAAAATTAACATGAAATCAAAATGTTTGGACCTTTCAGTGCAATCTTCTATGAAACTTTATCATAGCACCTACCTGCTGTAATAAACATTCACGAGAATGGAGGTTTGTTATTTCCATGATTTTGTAAATCCCACTTATATCTAAATTTATAAATGGGATTTCATAAATCCCATTTATAAGTTACACTTATATCTATCCTAAGAGCTGTGAATGTTTTAACATGCTGTCCAAATATTATAATGAATACCTCTTCTGAAATTATGTCACTAATTTTATTAAAAATATAGTCCTTACTTATACATGTAAACCTAGTTCCTGCGGGGGTTTTCAGTGCTTTATAGTATGGCACTTCTAAAAATAGCACAGTATACAAGAAATATCTTGCAAATTGATTTTGGGTTATTTCCCTGTTTTGATGCAAATGTGTTCTTGCATATTTTCATGTAAAAATGTAAGACATTATTTGGAGAATATCCCTAGGAGCGGAACTGTTGTGCCATTTAATAAAGGCATGTACAAATTAATTAAATACTGAAAATTTTTTTCCTCAGAAATATGAAGTCAGTGAGGTAGACTCTGATGTTGTTATTCTGCTGTTATTATCAACACCAAATAAACTGCTTTACACATAGTAGGAATTAAATAAATATTTGTCGAATGAATGAATGAATGAATATTGACCATAAGTGTGATAAGTCAAATCTACCCCAATAGTCACATCTCCTGGAACAAAGGCAGGAGAGTATAATGGAAGCACACATTTCATATGTATAAAGATACAAAACTTAAAAGAAAGCTAAGAAGCTGTTAAATAAGACAAATCCAATTTTCACTCTTTACAACTGTATTTTTAAGTGATGTGGATGTCTAGGTGCCCCTGAGATACATAGCTACCTTGAACAATATAGCTGTTCTAGTTCATAAACCCTGCTCTGTTAACACTCTCTGAAATGTCTACCATCTGATCATTTTCAGGTAATGGGTACACAAATCCAGAGTATGATTTGCCCCAATGAAGTCATATCTAGCAAAAAGGGTGGTAGAGGACACGGGAATGGTCTGAGAATTTTTTGGTAGAGAATGAAGGGTATCACTTCCAAGGAGCCCTATTTAGCAGGGGAGAGCAGTGGATTCAGGTGGGCACATTCTTGCTTTCTTATTTTCTGAGAAAGACATTAGAAAGAGAAGGGACAGACCAGGGGCCCTCTTATTCATTACTGTTTAAACATCTGTGATAAGCAGCTATTTAGCAAATGTGTTTAAGTTTTCAATCAGTTTTATTTTTATTATCAAAATAATAATAGTAGTTGCAGTAATACAAAAATTATTACTAGAATCAAATAAGTTGAAAAGCCACAGACATACAAATTATAAGCACATTTTAAATTACATGATTCTACAGAGAAAATTCCATTTTAGTAAATATAATTGGTAAAATGTAACAGAAAACTGTAAATAGCATTCATTGCAAGAGGATGAGAACACAAAGGCAGCACAAGAACACAAAGATAGGTAATGTGGCAAACCATGATTATATTTTAAAGGCTGTCAGTCTGCCATTATAATGCAACAAAAGTTATACATGAAATAATGGTTTCCTCATATTAAGTGTGTGTGTGTGTGTGTGTGTGTGTGTGTGTGTGTGTGTGTCTGTACCTATATATATCCTTTGAACAACAAAGATACATACATACTTTGAAAAAACACCGTATCTATATTTAAAGTATTGTAATATAATAAATGAACTTGCTTCTTGCTCATTATCTAATCTTGGACCGACTGATGACAATGGTAACCACAAGGAATAATGTTGTTTCCGTGTTTTATATTAATAACATTCAGTGAGGAGAAATCATTTTTACAAATATATGTTGATGAGACTGGAATTAAAAAACTAGAAAGAGATTTAATGTAATTTATCCACAATGAAAAATATTGTTTTAAAAATTAATATTGAATTGCTTATTACTAGCCAATTCCAAATATTTAACTTGTAAAGTTACAATAAAATTTTAAATTTTTCAATAAAAGAATAAGCCCTAGAAACATAAATTTTCTCTATATTTTAATGTATAGAAAATTTGAATTTAAAGTTTCTATAAATTTTAACAGTAAATAAAATGCAAAATATTTAATGAATTTCTTAATTCATTGATAGCTTCCATATGTCATCACCTACCTCTTCCATAATAGTTTTTGATAATAGTAACCCATAAAAGCAATCTAGAGAGAGTTTGTTTTTCTGAACTCCTTTTGATTTGTTTCTTTGAATCACATTTAAAACAAACAAACAAACACACACACAAAAACCTGGCCGGTTGCAATGGCTTAAGCCTGTAATCCCAGCACTTTGGGAGGCGGAGGCAGGCAAATCACTTCAGGTCAGGAGTTCAGCCTGGGCATCACGGTGAAACCCAGTCTCTGTTAAAACAACAACAACAACAATAATAAAAACTTAACATCACCTGGAGAAAACAGATGGTTTTGTAGATCCCTCCAAGCCCAAACCTCAGGGAATTATAATAGCTTGATTTGTCTAGCAGCTATCTGGAAAATTGCCATTCTTACTGCTTCCTTTCATTAGACCTGCAAACTTGCTCAGTGAGGAAAGCTTTATCCCCAAAGATTTTGTTGATAAATGTCCATGACAATTGTTTAGCATTGCAGCTGAACATATTATCTGAAGTGGCAATAACATTGGGAGAAAATAAGAGGCAGATAAAAATACTTACACAAGACACTTGTGCAGAAAGACCTGAGAGGGATCCAGTTTCTCACTTCTGTCTGAGCTTGAGGCCTCTGCAAAAACAGAAAGTGAAGGCTGAGAGTCTTGCAAACTCTTTAATCATTCAAAGCATGCCCCAGCACACACACAGAGCCCTTCATCAAAGGGTGTGAGAAACTGCTTCAGGTTATTTAAGAAATCTGAGGTCAAGAGATCGAGACCATCCTGGCCATGGTGAAACCCCATCTCTACTAAAAATACAAAAATTAACCGGGCGTGGTGGCACGCGCCTGTGGTCCCAGCTACTCGGGAGGCTGAGGCGGAAGAATCGCTTGAACCCAGGTGGAGGTTGCAGTGAGCCGAGATTGCGCCACTGCACTCCAGCTCTCCAGCCTGGCGATAGAGTAAGACTCCGTCTCAAAAAAAAAAAAAAAAAAAAGAGAAATCTGTGTCCAGCCACTAAGCTAACCGAAAATAGATTTCAGTGGCCACAGCAATAATGAATACAGTCATTACAGAAGTTCTTCATGGAATTTATTAAACAAACAATTGACAGCAACAATAATACAACAAACAGCAACATAAAACCCAGGACATGGAATACTTAATTTCCACAGTTGCCACATTATCATTTAAAATGTGCAGACATGCAAAGAAACAGAAAAATTTGGCCCATACACAGGGCAAAATAAAAGACAATAGACAATTTCCCTAAGGAACCACAGATGCTGGAATTATTAGAAAAGTATTTTAAGAAAGCATTATACATATGTATAAAGATTTCAAGGAAACCATGTCAAAGAATTATAGGAAAACATGAAAACAATTTGAGAATGCCAATGAAGAAATTTAAATTATAAAAAGGGACATATAGAAATGTTCGAGTTGGAAATTTCAGTAACTGAAATGAAAATTTACTACAGGGGTTCAACAATATATTTCAGCTGGTAGAAGAAAGAATCAGCAATCTTGAAGATTAGTCAATTGAGTTTAACCCAGGCTTAGGGACATTAAAACAGTAAAGAGAAACAGAGTTTAGAGACCTGTAAAGTGTATGCATAATAGAATCCCAGAATAAGAAGAGAAAGATATAGACTCAAAACAATATTTTAATAATGGACAAATAATTTTCAATTTTGATGAAAAACATTTATCTACATATCCAAGGGGGTCAACAAACTCTAAATAAAGTCAACTCGAAGAAAGGTGAGCAAAATTATTGTTAAGAAACAAAGTCAGACATTTCTAAAGGCAGCAAGAGAAATCCAACTCATCATGCACAAAGAATCATTAACAGCAAGAGTCTATTTTTTTTTTAGGTCTCTAAGAACATACTTTATAAATCTGGGTGCTGCTGTGTTGGGTGCATATATATTTAGGATAGTTAGGTCTTCTTGCTGAATATGAATACTACTATAAGTTTTATTTATAATAATCAAAAGTGGGAAACACCAAATTACCATCAATGAAAAAATGAACAAACAGTTGGTGCTATACCTATGCAATTGAACACTACACAATAAAAGGAATGAACTAATAACACATGCCACAACATTAATGAATTTCAAAATAATTAGACTAGGTGAAATAAACTAAATGACCAAAATGCATACTGTATAATTCCATGTATACAAAATTCTAGAAAATTCAAAATTTAATCTATAGTAACAGAAGGCATATTAGTTGTTGCCAGAGAAAGACACAAAAGGTAAAAGCAGGTAAAATAACTGGCCACAGAGAATACTTGGCATAATTAATATATTCAATTTTTTAACTATGATGATTGTTTAATGGGTATATACATATATCAAAACTTCTCAATGACAGGCACTCTTACAGTCCCAAAAATTCATTAAATTAAGTCCTTCAAAAGCTGTTTCCTTCTCCTGCTCTATTGAGTTGCTCTTTACCATACAGCAATTTATCATTTTAGGTCTAACATCAATGTTGTATTATTTTCACTACACCTGCCTTCTCATCTGTTAATTGCCTTGATGCTTTAACTTAATGATAACTTAGTACCTATTTATCCAATGTATTTAATTAGCACTTTATAATTTTTCTGTTGGGGATATAATATACTAGATGATCCTCAAAAGTTTTTATTAATAAAGTACATTAACACATATATTTTTTATTAGTAGGCATAATTTTTAAATATAAATGTTATTAATATTTTATAAATCAAGTTAGTCACATTAGGATTGTTTTTGCAGTCTCCTTTTTCATCTTAACATTCAACACTTTTAATTCATTAAAAAATCTAATAATATTACTTACTATACCTTGTAGTCTTACTCTTTTCCTGGCCATTGCAAGGTACCTTATATTTACTATTATATTTAACCTTAATGACACTATCCAAAATAGACATTATATCTTCATTTTATAACTAAGGTAACTGAGGCTCATGTAGTTTCTCACATAGTATTAGAGTTTGGACACAAATTTAGTTTGGCCTTATTTGAAGACCAATGCTTCTAAACTCTGTTGTATCATTTTGTCATTTTAACTGTTTGATACAATGCTAAATTGTATATCTACTCCTAAAATCACTTGCTTTCTTGCCAGATGATGTTTTTAGATATTTCTTTCTGCTATCAGATGGTATTTTTGACATTTTAAACACCACAATCTTGGCTAAATGATCTCCATAGTATTTTTCTGTTTGATAATTCAGCTGCCCTCCATGAGTTTTCTCACCTATTTAGAAATTTAATGTGAGAATCTGATTTCTTCTAAAATTCTCTTTAGTCTGAATAATCTATTTAATATCCTCATCCTCAAGTAGTTTACATGGTATTGTAATGGTTATGTCTAATACTTTCCATTTTTACTTTTAAAATACTAATTTTTGAACTTCACTCTGTCCTACACTTCAACATACCAGTAACTCATGGACCATAGTTAAGTAACTAACATTTTTTATAATTAATGATGAAAATTATAAAATGAACCAAATACTTATATAGTAACTGCAATGTGCTAATCACTGTTTAAGTACTTTACATTTTTAATTTAATTTAAACTAATAATAAATCTTTGAAATAGATAACATGATCAGCCCCAACTTTATAAATGAAACAAATATGAAATGTTATACAAATTACAAAAGATCACTCTGCTAGTATGTGGTAAAGTCAGGCAGCTTGTTTTCAGAGTTCATGCTACTAAATTCCTTGTTATACTGCCTATCATTAAAGAAAAATGCATTTCTATTTCTGGATTATCTATTTCGCTTTTCAAAAAACTATCAGTGCATTTGTGTCTGCTTTGGTCACAAAAAAGTAGAATCAAAAGGCTGTTTTACAATTTTTTTTTTCTGGAATTCTAAAAATACTGACATCTAAATGTAGCTTTCTAGGAAAAAAATAATGTAAGCTTTTCCATGCAGACCCCAACCTGTGACAATTATACGTACTATACATTGAATTATTAGACTAATATCTAAATCTATTTCTTTTATCCTAGTTGCCTCTTGACTGTGTCCTTATTGCTCCAAAGTTATCATGTTACTCCTTCTTTTTACTTCCTGTTTACTTGAAGCACACATATATAATATCCCAGAATGCTACGCCAGAAAATACATATTCTTACACTGCTTCACCATAATAATGATTATCTAAATTCTCATCTGACAGTATTCTTCTAAAATTGCTAAATTCCCCATTAGGTTTGGTAAACTGTATGCAAAAGTATTGCATCAATTCCTCTTTCATTATTTTATTTTCAGTACTGTTTTTTATTCTCTGCTGTTGAAAAGTTGTAATTTGCTTTGCTGATACTTCAATCTATTTAAACATATCATTCCTTTAAAATTTTATATTCCTTTTACTACACATTAAGGCAATAGCCAAGTGTATCAATTCTTTTTTCTAAAAAAATCCTCAAATATTTTAGAATTCAATGATGAGCCCTTCTGTCAGAGGGATGCTTCTTTTCACTGACAATCATATTGTTCTGTTGATTTTTAAACATTCAAAAGATTTCACTAAAAGATCATACAGAATAAAAACAAGATAACAAGCATCAAACTATCCAATTTACACCATGACGACTTGACCTGAGAATCTTCATGATTTTTTAGAAGCCTTCTTCTGCTGTCTGGAAACTAATTACATTATAAGCCCTTAATAGCTGGGATATATTTTTCCTGAAAATGCATGCATAACTACACAGTCTCCTTGTCTGACTTATTAATATTAACTTTCTAGTTGCTGAACTATCTACAAGAAGATAGAAACATTTAACACCCACACTTCAGCATGTGCTTCTTAGACAACTTGACATTTCCTTGTCAAAACCAATCTCATTTTCCAGGACACCTGAGGTTTTTTCTGCCATTCCCAAGTTCAGATGTCTGAGACACACCTATTTGCAAGGTAACCGCCTCTCAATATGTGTTATTCTTTAAAAATCTAGAAGTGAGCATACCCTTGAAGAACATATAAGATCTTTTATTTTAACCAAAAAAACCACGTTATAAGTAAAATGTATCTACAGATTTTTATTTAAAAATCTAGAAGTGAGCATACCCTTCAAGAACATATACGATTTTTTATTTTAACCAAAAAAATCACGTTCATATTATTAGTAAATTGTATTTATAGATTTCTAAGAAAAAAAAAGAGGCCATGGTTTAATAATTCAAATCCAAGTCAAACCCATTTCTATGTAGAAAAAAGATGTCATGTATAGTATGCCTAGCAGCTACTCAAAAGAGCTCAAAAGACAGAGCTAGGTACTCTTGCAGCCTCAGTAACTTTTCAAAATGCTTCCATACTTTCCCCTCCTTAAATTTTCCTTTATTTACTCCACAATCCTTTCAACCTTTACTGTCGTCATCAACAAAGTGAAGACAGTGAGACCAGCTATCCTCTAATGCAACTGCAACTTATGACAAGTTGAGAATACCTGCTCAACATGAGGGCGAAGCTGTCTAGCAATATTTATATAACACTTATAAGATGTTCTTTTACTCTTACATGCAAGATCTCACCCACCCTATTCCAGTCACTTAACTACTTACAGTTACTTAAACCTCATGACCCTTTAGCCTGCTGAGGACTCTCAA